GAACGACTGCTCAATGCCGTGCTCAGCACAGTAGGCTGCCAAGAGGTCGGAGGAGAACTCACCACCTCTGTCAGAGTGCAAGCGCAGGACAGGAAAGTCCGAGTGAAAACGCTCGCTGAGCTGGAGACGGGCTCGGCGGATCCAAGGGATCAAGACATCAGGGACCTCACCCTTGGTGCGCAAGGGGAAGACCGAGGTGTAGCGCGAGTAGTCGTCAACAACTATCAGGAAGTACCTCTCCTGACCCTGACCACGGACGCGGGCTGGGCCCCACACGTCCATGTGGAGTGTCTGCAAGGGAGCAGTCGTCGGGGGGAACGAGGAGGAGTGAGGAGCGGCGCGCTGCCGTCCCTCGACACAGGGGAGACAGGTAGGAGCAGGCGAGGGTGGGAGGGGAGGAAGGACCCTGGGCAGGCCAGAGACAAGGTACCTGGAGTGCATGGCACGAAGCCGCTGCACAGACGGGTGGCCAAGGCGGTGGTGCCAGAGGACAGTCTCGTGTGCCAAAGAGCGACACGAGCAGGGGGCGGACAGCTGACCTGACGCGGACGCGGACGCAGTCGCAGCAACCTGAGGGGACTCAGTAGTCAGTGTGTACAGGTCCGACCCCGGCTGCCGAGTGAAGGTAGCCAAGTGACGGCCCGTACGAGCACACGTGCAGTGTGTCACGCGCTCGTAGGCAGGGGTGAACTGGTGAACACCCCCGTCCTGGAGTGCACAGCCTGCCACCAAGTTCGTAGAGAACGAGGGGAGGTGGAGACCTGACAGTGTGCCCGACGGGACCGCAGGGCAGGGAAGGACAGTGGAAGAGGTCGCAATGACCGGACCCCCAGAGGGGTCAGCAAGGGAGACAGCAACTGGTCGAGCAAGCGGCTCAAGGGCAGTGCGGTCACGAAAGAAGCAGCGAGAAGCACCTGAGTCCAGTGTGAAGGTGTGCAGTGCGGCAGTCGACGCAGTACCAAGGGGGGGAGACACACGAGCACCTAGAGCAGCAGCCTCACCAGCACCTGGGGTAGCCGACACGTGAGTACCTGGAGCGGCAGACGCACTGGCCCTAATGCCCGGGTCGGGCGGCACACACAAGTACTCAGCACCCTCTCCACTAGTAGACATCACATACATGGCAGATAGAATAGCATCAAAGTCTAGAGCATAGATATCAATCCCCTTCTTCAGGAGATCAAGCCAGCGGGGCAGCTCAGTGGCCTGAGGGAACTGAACACGCCAAGCGTCGTCGAGACGAGAGAAGCAGCGCTGTGTGGCGTGCGGTCGTCCACACTGCTGACCAGTGCGGTCACCAGTGCGAATGACGTACGTGCAGCTAAGACCACCCCCACCCCCGTGCTGAGAGTACCACTCACGGACCTCCTGGGGCGAGAGAGTGTGCTGCTGGCCCTGGCCACCGCCAGCGCCTCCACGGCCACCACCACCGCTGCCACCTCCTCGACCACCCCAACCCCTGCCGCCGCCTCGTCCACCGCCACCCCAACCGCCGCCTCCACTCCTGCCACCTCCCCCGCCGCTGCCGCCACCACCCCCACCGCTACCACTCGCCCCTCCAGCCGAGCCACCACCCCCACTGCCTCCACCGCCCCCACCGCTGCCTCCCCCGCCGTCACCGCCACTACCCTTGCCCCCTTTGCCCTTGCCGCTGCGGCGTCCGCTCGAGGCAGACGCAGTGCCGACCTTCTCAGTACCAAGAAGGTCGACAGCAGCAGCAGAGGCGACAGAGGGAAGAAGGGGGGAAGGAGAACACCCCTCAAAGAACGGGGTACGGGGGTCGCCACGAGAGGCACCTACAGCGACTATGCTAGCCTCAGCTGCAAGTAGCTCCTTCTCGAGGAGGGCAATGGTGAGCTCAGTGGGGCAACGAGCTAGGAAGTGGTCCCTGACAGCACGCAGTGTGTCAGGGAGGCGGGTGACTAGGTGATAGAGAGTGAGCCAGAGTGGAGGGGGGTGCGTGGCAAGGAACTCAGCAGGCATGGCGGCACGGAAGCGGGCCTCACTAGTACGGAGGTGCGTGATGAGGTCAGCGACTGTGTGAAAGGAGGCCAGGTCGGGAAACAGGTAGGGGAGGGAGAGACGGCCTAGTGCGGCAGAGGCAGGTGAGGAGTAGCGAGCAACTACAGCTGTGTACAGTGCCGGTGCAGTCTTGTGCTGACCAAAGTGCTCGCGTTCGTCTATCGGCAGGGAGTTGCGAATGGCGAAGCGAGCGTGGGCATCACGAGTCTGCCACTGTGAGTGAGCAGTGCTGTCAGCAGTAGCAGCAGGGGCAGTGACAAGGCCTAGGGCGTGATCGTACAGTGAGATGTCATCCTTGGCTGTGAGCTGTAGGTAGAGGTGCAGGTCATCGAGCCAGGTGTCAAACTTCACAGGGCGGCCCTCAGCATCGAACACGAGAACCTGTGGGCTAGCCATAGGAACAGTAGAAATAGCAGCAGTAGCGGTAGGAGAAGCAGGTAGGACGAACCAGGTAGGGCAGGGCGGCGCGGCTCGGTTCAGGTCGGGTCGCGGCTCGGCTGGGTGGCGCGGCTCGGCTCGGGGCGCGCGGCTCGGCTCAGGTCACGGCGGGGACGGGCCGCCCGCTTTCCCTCTTGTGCTGCAGCGGGAACGGGCCGCCCGGGGCCTCTGGGTGGTGGGCACGGGTCGGCGAGGTAGGCACGGGGCCGGTTGGGGGCCCTAGAGGGGCGAGTGCGGGGCCGATCGGGGCCTGAGCGGGGCTAGCGCGGGGCCAAACGGGGCCTGAACGGGGCTAGCGCGGGGCCGACGGGGCCTGAAACGGGGCCGAAGGGGCCTGAAACGGGGCTAGCGCGGGCCCGATCGGGGCCTGAATGGGGCTAGCGCGGGGCCGACGGGGCCTGAGAGGGGCTAGCGCGGGGCCTACGGGGCCTGAGACGGGGCTAGCGCGGGCCGACGGGGCCTGAAACGGGGCTAGCGCGGGCCGACGGGGCCTGAGAGGGGCTAGCGCGGGGCCGACGGGGCCTGAAACGGGGCCGACGGGGCCTGAAACGGGGCTAGCGCGGGCCGACGGGGCCTGAGAGGGGCTAGCGCGGGGCCGACGGGGCCTGAAAAAGGGGCCGACGGGGCCTGAAACGGGGCTAGCGCGGGTCGACGGGGCCTGAGGGGGGCTAGCGTGGGGCCGACGGGGCCTGAAACGGGGCCGACGGGGCCTAAACGGGGCTAGCGCGGGGCCTGAACGGGGCCTTAAAGGGGCCGACGGGGCCTGAACGGGGCTAGCGCGGGGCCGTCAAGAGGGGCCTCTAGGGGCGTGACACGCCGAGGCGCCCTAGGGCACGGGTAGGTAGGTAGGTAGGTAGTTACGTAGTGGTGGGCCCTTAGAAAATTTCGGTCCTAGGAAGGACCTGCTCTGATACCATGTTGGAATCACTGAACAGGAATGAATGAACTAGCAATGAAAAGAGTACAAGTACCTAACCCTAGAATTGTGTACCCCCTATAGGCTAACCCACTGTAGCCTAAACTAACATAACATACATAGTTTTATTTTTCTCTATTGATAGTAGAACCTCTCAAGCTAGTAGAAGTCGAAGTTAATAAGACTGGTTTGCCGCGACGAACCTCTCAAGGTAATGGAAGTCAAAGTTAGTAAGAATGGTTTGCCACGATGCGAGAGATGAATTCCTAACACTTGACCATTCTGCATCTTATTAAGTCCCTTGCACTCGATGGGTAGCACGTATCGATGGGACAGCTGGCATCAGTTACCGCACAAATCATGCGAGCTCGGTTCTATTACCAGGGTTTTTACAAAAGATTCTCCATTTGTGTCCAATGCTGGGAGCTGCTAGTGTGTGAGTTCGTGGTACTATCAGCAAGCATTTGCCGTTTCGAGGAATGCAAGTCATGCATGTCACCTCAGGTATTGTACACCCCACCCCAATGGAAGAAGGGAGGGGAGGTTGGCAGGGAAAGAGGGGCCGGTGTGAGAGTACGACGACTTTACCTACTTGGATTTTCCTTATTATGCCTTATCTTGCCTAGCCTATGCATGCTTTTGCTCGTAGAGTTGAGCAGGTGGCCCGACCCGACCCGATTCGGCCGGGCCACACGGGCCCTCAGGTCGGATCGTGTCGGGCCGACCTCGGGCCAGAATCTTGAAACAGCTGGCCCGACCCAGGCCTACTGACTCGGGTCAAAGGGGACCCGGGTTCGGGTCGGGCCTGGTCGGGCCAGGCAGACCCGCCCCTTAATGTGTACATTTCTCTGTTATACTTGTTATTACTATATATTTCAAATACATTGTTTTTCTACTACTTGAAAGTGTGATGGTTCCATAAACTGTACAACACTTTCGATGACATTTGAAATAAGCTACTGGTTGACAAACGTACAGGGCGTCACCAAACAATAGTGTGATTGAGTTTTCCATTGGGTAAGCCACAACAATAGCAAGAAGTTCAAGCACACTATAAATATGTCTGCCAATAAAAAACCCAAAGCTGCAACTGTCAATGCAAGCTACCGCACGTACAAGAAGGTCGCTAATAAATATGACGGTGCAATACCTCGACAGTCTCAATGACAAATGACTCCGTATCAACTCTCTCCGAGCAACTGTTTCGCACAGCCCCAACTTTTCAACCTCAAGGCACAGCTGCGCCATGGTGGTCCTAGTGCCACCACGAACCTCCAGCCTCTGTCTAGGGTGGTGATCCTGCCAAGTCTTGATCATCATAGCCGCACGCATCTGCTGAGAGCTCAGACGGTGCCGCTGCCACTAGATGATGTTCCTGCTTTGACTGAAGGCTCGCTCACTTGCTTCAGACGTGGCGGGGATACCCAGATAATCGCGTGCCATGGCCCTAAGCCCGAGCAGCTGCAGCTCCCTCCCACGCCAGTACGCTAAGGCGCACCCACCGTCCTGCCTCGCCTCCGCTAAATACTGGTCCACCTCGTCCTGTGCCCGCACCCCCTCCTCTGCCTCCATCTCTGCCAACTCAGCAAGCAGCCTAGCCTGAAAGTCGAGCACGCCACGCGACCTAGCCCCCCTGCGCCCTGCAGCCCCGCTCCTCACTGCCCCTCCCCGTCACTCCCTTAGCGCTTGTAACCTCACCCCCAAGACGTGCCTCTGCCGCTGCACTGGCCGCTATCTGGTAGGGTGGAAGGCGCTTGCGTACGAGCGCCTTCACCCTCTCCTCGCTCAGGTCGAGTGTCCTGGCCCCCCTGGCATGCCCCCCCGCCTCTACCACAATGGGCACGCTAGTCCTCGCCCCCCGGGCCCTGAGCCTGAAGGTTGCCGTCTTGAGCCGAGGATCGAGGAAGGTGGCAATCGCCGCCTCCTCGCTCACCCCCCCCATGTGGCGCTCCAGCTTGCTCAAAGCCCGGCTTGAGAGGTCATTGCACAGCAGCGAGACGTCTGGCGAATCTCTGTTCCCATCAAGAATATCCAGAAGCATATTGTACTACGGCACGACCGATCCCATGGTGGGGTACAAAGACCCCTCCACGAACAGGGTGATGCTGTCAAACGGCTCGAGGATTGCCCGAAGCTCGTGGAGAGCTGTCCAGTGAGCATCGGACAGCCTGATCTCTGCCGATGCCGTGCGTGTGGCTGAGAGGGGGAGAGAGGGAACGGATGGAGAGTGATTTGGTTGGAGTGGAGGTGGCATTGGGGAAGTACATGGTGACGTGATGGGGTTGGCAAGACTTGGGAGCCCACATGGGATGGATGCCTTAATTATTCGTAATAAGAACATGCACTCCAACGTGATTAAGAGATGAAATGGTGGTGACATGCGGGAAGTACATGGTGACGTGATGGTAATTTCATACTTACGGTGGACTCATCGAAGTACATCGTGAGAGGCATGTGCAGCTCACACCCCCTCACCACCATCTCCAGCATGGAACCCCAGCGCGTGTCCGAGTCAACGATCAGGCGCAAGTCAGCAGGTCTCTTGCGCGCACTGCTGCCCCCCTCTGCCAGCGTCGCCCCCCCCCCTCTGCCAGCGTCGCCCCCCCCTCTGCAGTGCCCCCCTCTGCCTGCCTCTCCCCCCCTTCCTCAGTGCCCTCCTCTGCCTGCGACGCTGCACGGCCAGTAGCATACTGTTTCTGGATATCAAAAAAACGCTCCGACCGCTGCACCGACCACCCGATGTAGCTAGCCACAGCTCGCAACCTCCGGAGCGCCTCGGCCATCGACTCAACCTTCATTGAGCACTACGCTGTGAGGTTTCAGGACATGGGCTAGCACTTGGAGGGCAAGCAATGTCATATAGAAATGGGTATGATCCATTTTGGTATAGGGTCAATGGGGTACTTGCCATTACACGATATGCTACCCAACACTTGTAGCAATAGCGGATGGCACTTACTTGAAGTGCCGAGACAGGGACATGAGGGGGGGTCACGCGGACGTGACCCGGGGGTGTCGTCAGCGACGCCGGCCAGCAGACGAACCGACCGGTTGTTGTTCTCAGCGTTGTCCGTGGTCACGCCGAAGAACTCACCACCACCCAATGCCCACTCCCCTATGACCTGCTCCAGCTCGGTCGCTATCTTATCCCCTGTGTGACGGCCCTCCAGCGGCCGGAAGTCGATCACCATCTGCTGCAGCTGGAAGTCCGAGGTGACTCGGTGAGCAGCACCACCATGAAGGCAACGTTGTTCTCACTGGTCCATATTTCCGTGGTGAGTGTCACCCGCCCCGCCAGACCGTCGCCTGTCAACAGCTGTCGAAGCTGAGCCTTAGCTGTCTCGCCTGCAGACAGCAGGTCCCGTGCAAGGCGGAAACGTGTGCCGAGATGCTGTGCCGCGTCGGGGTTCAGCAGGGTGACGAAGTCACGAAACTGCCATGTGGAGGGTCATAAACACGGTTGGGAGTGGAAGAAGAGAGTGGTGGCAGGATATTGCGCATTGTACGTCTATGTATTCTCGATCGTGCATGTGTACAAAAGAGGATGCGCACATACCTTACCACCGGCCTGTCGACAGAACGGAACGACAAGTCAAGGCTGGCGAACAGCATCACCAGGCCCTCACGCAGCTGTCGCTGCAAACAGAAGCAGCGAACGGACCATTATGACATGCTGGAGGTGATCAAAGGAACAGTGAAGCGCCCTGAGAACGACTCGGAGAAGAGCCAGTGGGTGCGGAAGGGCGCACAACGCTACTTCCTACTTGGGCAAGCAACTGGGAGCACCCAAATCCGTCACATCAAGCCATTCCAGCGTGAACCGGCGAAGGGAACAAATGCATGGGCTGCTTCCAAGGGTGTACACGCTTCTACAACAGCGGCGGTAGCGGTGGTGTTGGAGCGGCAATGGCTCCACTATGAATAGAAGAGGAAGAAGCGGTTGAAGAAGGGGTGCAAGTTCTTCGACCTTTTGATGGGGCTTGAAGGAGCGGACCTGAACAATAGTGAGCTCCAAAAGAAGACCAAGTTGCTGACCCTACTCCCCGAATCATGGTCCCTAAGTGTGACTTGCCTCGCTTCTCGCTTGAAGACGTGAGGCGAGCAATCCTTCAAGAGGATTTCTGGCGCTGTGAGTTGGCGGGTTCGGATGGCGCCGGGGCAGCAAGCATTGGCCGTGGATATGGCCGAGGAAGGGGTAGAGGACGAGGAGGAGGCAGGTTTGCTGGCAGAAACTTCAGCGGAGGCCGCGGAAGTGACTTCAGCGGAGGCCGCGGAAGTGACTTCAGCGGAGGCCGCGGAAGTGGCAGCTACGGCAATGACAACAAGAACTATGGACGCGGTCGCGGCCGATTTGACGGCGAGTGTCACTTTTGTCACAAAAGCGAGCACATGTGGCGCGATTGCTACAAATTCCCTGATGGATAGACTCTTGCTCAAGGCCAAGAGGGTAGAGGGGCAGGTGGAGGGAGAGGAAGAGGTCATGGAGGCTGTGGCGGTCGCGGAGGTGCAGCTGCAAACATGAAGAGTGGAGACAACGAGAGCGAGTCGAGGGACGATCGGTTCCCGGGTCAATTCTTCTTCGTATCGATGCAAGCATCGGCTGGACCAGAGAGAGATGAAAGCATTGAGGAGCCTGCTGCTGTGGGGAAGGTGACCCTACACTACCTGGAATATTGGGTGATCGATAGCGGTGCTACCTATAGCATAAGACTTCGCGCGGACTCGCTCACCGAACTCGAACCGTCACCGATGAAGCATGTCACATCATCTTTGGGGCAGCGAGCAGATGTGAAAGGCATGGGCAAGGCCATGTTCAAGCGTGATGATGGGAAGATGGTGGGTTTCAAGAACGTGCTTTGGGTGGCCAGTCTTCCTGCGAACATGATTTCCGTGCCGCGGTTGCAAAGGCCGGCATGAACACTAGCTCGAAGGGAGCTAAGACTTACACCGCAAGGCTTGACAAGCGGATTCTTTGGAATCATCATGAGGATAGAGATGTCTACATCAAGATGTGGCACATCTCTGTGGTCCCTATGCCTAAGGAGAGGCAAGTGGCAGCAAGCGTCAGCACAACGGGCGAAGCGGATGGTAGCGGCGATGACAAGAATGGTCGCGCAATGGAGAACGAGTTCAAGAAGAGAAATCTTGGAGGGACCAGCAAGTAGTGTGGTGTAGCCGCCAAGGAGCAGCAAAAGGGTGAGGAGAACCCCAAGGCAGCAGCGGAGGAGGAGTACGGAGAGAGCATGTGGGGCATTATTGCGAGTGCGGCATTCTCCAATCCGACTTCGGCTACGGGGGAGTGTGATTGGTTGACTTTGCATCGGCGCATGGGGCATGTGGCCCTGCCCATCTTGCAACAGCTAGTGAAGAATGAGATGGTTGCTGGCATACGTGTGAAGGGGGAGCCGGATGAGGTACTGGGGTGCGCGACGTGCATGCAAGCCAAGTTCACCCGTTTCCCGTTCTCTAGCTCGGAGGCAACGGCTCAGGTACCACTTGATGACGTGGAGATGGACGTGGTGGGCCCCTGGAAGCTTGGAGCTGCTCACCATAGTCAACGTCTACACCCGCATAACATGGGTGTATGTGCTGTCCAAGAAGTGCAACGTGGTAGAAACGGTGAAGACCGATTGGTTGCCGATGGTGGAGCGGCAACAAGACCGACTTGTGAAATCAATCTACACCGATCGAGGGGGAGATCTCTTGAGCAAGGAGTTCTCATTGTGGCTGAAGAAGAATGGCATCAGGTATTCCCTTACCATGCCATAATCAACTGCAATAAACGGCATCGCCGAGCGGGCGAACCGCACAATCACGGAGACGGCACGCGGGTTGCTCATTGAAGCCGGGTTTCCCGATAAAATTTGGCCTGATGCGGTGCGGAGTGCGTGTGTGGCCAAGAACAGAGATTCGACTCATATGGGAGCAGAAAAATGGGTGCTCTATGTGGAGTGGATTGGAAGGAAGCCAAAGGTGGATATGCTTCGAGTGTTCGGGTGCATGTGCATGGTGCTCGTGCCTAAGCATCTTCGGCACAACAAGCTTGGTGCAAAGGCAGTATGGGCTGTGCACTTGGGCATGGCTCAAAGCAGAAAGGGATGGATTGCTTGGGAACAAAAAAAAAATCATGGTGAGAAGGGACTGCATGTTCATGGAAAACCTGATGTACAAGAATTGGAAGGCGGAGAATGAGGCGAAGATAGGCGTACGGTTTGGGGAGGTGAAGAGTTCCGGTTTGGAGCATGTGGAGCTGCCATTGGAACTGAGCAGCGGCAGCACCATCACAAGGAAATCTCCTCTTGTGAATGGTGGAGAGGAGGCCAGGAATGGAGAGGAAGAGGGGGACGAGGTGCAGCAAGTAAGCGAGCGTGCACCGACAATTCCTTTTCGCACTACGAGCGTTCCACGGATTCGAGTCACTCCACAGCAACGCCAAGAGAACATTCAAGTCCCTGCAGCTGAGGCAAGAGGCAAGAGGAGAGTTCAACCCCTAATATGCTGACATATGATGCGCCGGGAAAGTAGTGCAAGACTGCGTTAGCAAGAGCAGCGCTTATGGTTGGTGATGACGAGGAAAGTGAGTACGAGGAGTGTGCTTTCGTGTTCTTCTCTCCAGTCGAGATGCCAGGGGAACCATCAACTTTCAAGGAGGCCTTGGAGAGTAGTGATGCTGAAGATTGGAAGAAGGCAATGGAGAGCGAGCTGAAGAGCATTGAGGAAAACGATACATGGGAATTGGTGGAGCTACCAGAGGGGCGTAAGGCGATTACGTCCAAGTGGCTCTTCAAGATCAAGTCGGACGGCGACGGCAAGATCGAGCACTACAATTCTAGGCTTGTGGCCAAGGGGTACCAGAAGAAGAAGAAGGTGGACTTCAAGGAGCTGTTTGCTCCTGTGCTGAAGCCGAAGACGCTGCGAACCCTACTCGCTGGGCCTGCTATCAAAGGATGGGTGGTGAAGCAGATGGGCATATCAACCGCTTTCCTCAAGAAGATTTTCATGGCGCAGCCAGAGGAATTTGATGATGATAGTGGCAAGCTAAAGAAGGCCTTATACATGCTGAAGCAGGCCCCTAGGCCATGGTACTTGAAGCTGCGCGAAGTGTTGGAGGAGATCGGCTTCACTCCCTCGACGGCCAATCATTCCTTGTTCATGCTTAGCAAGGGGGTGCAGAGGAGCTTCATGGTGATGTGGATGAAATCCTCCTCTGACATTGTGAAGGAGGTGATGATGAAGCTTCAGGACAAGTTCAAGTGTAAGGCTCTTGGTAACGTCAACTTCTGCCTCGTGCTTCACATTGAACGCGATGTGGAGAAGCGGTGCATGTGGGTGCATCAACGGAAGTACCTGGAGGCCTTGGGTGTGAACTTTGGGCAGAGTGAAGGCCATGTGGCTACTCTTCCCTTCAAGGTTCAAGTGTGTGAAGGGACCAGAGGAGGAGAGCGTTGGCAAAGAAGAGAGGCGCCGATTTCACTCGTTGGTGGGCAGCCTCATGTACGCGGCAGTCAACACACGACCGGATGTTGCTTTGCTATTGGGCACTTAGCTAGGGTTGTGTAATGCCCTAATGAGGAGCAGGTAGCAGCTGGAATGAGGGTGGCCAAGTATCTTGGCCAAACACCGACCGTTGGGCTGCAATATTCAGCAGCGGTGCAAAGGCGCCAAAAGGGCGCGGATGATGTTGAACCCAAGCGTTTGCTCCTCACCGCATTCTCGGATGCTTCTTATGCATCGAAACCAGAGGGCATGACAAGTGTTGGAGGCTTCATTTGCTGTGTTGGTGGAGGCCCAACTGCTTGGGAAAGCAAGAAGCACGTGGACCAAGCACTAAGCTTGGTGGAGTTCGAGTACATGGTACTCTTCCGTGCCGTATGGGAGATTTTGTGGCACCGGCGTTAATTGGCTGAATTGGGAGAGGAGCAACAAGGACCTACCCCACTCTACTATGACAGCCAAGGTGCCATTGCTCTTGCTAAGAACCCTGTGTTGCATGGCCTCCCGAAGCACATGAGGGTGAAATGGCATGGGACGAGGAGCATGGTGGCCGCGGTTGAAGTTGAGCTGCGCTACGTGAAGATGACGTCACAGCCAGCCAACATGACGACCAAAAGGCTGGTGGAACAGCAGCATTAGAAGTGTTGAAGCTGGCTGAAATGGCTCTGAAACAAAAGATCCAAGGGCGAAATAGTGC